AAGTGTATCAAGGGATGAAGATTATCCTCACCAGGATTATAGCCTTGATATTGTCAATAGTTAAGGAAATATCCTTGTTACTTTCATTACCATCCTGAAATTTTAGAAGAACATCTATCAAATCTTCCTCTGCTTCACCTTGGCCTCCTCTGCCTTTGGACTTTGCCTCTTTGTGTTCACTGATGATGTCTCCTAATATCCTATCAACTTGTCCGTGCAGTCTCTCGAGCTTAGGCCTCAAACCAGTAATAATTTGAAGCCATTTAGCTGAAGGAAACAGATCTCCTATGTTAAAACCCGATCCACTTTCCACAGCTTCTTTCACCGCTGATATGAATTCCTCTTGGTCTTTGCATTTCATGCCAAACGCAGCTCTTGACATGATGTTATATACAGATGAAAGCACTGCTTCAGTGAGGTTCAAGGGAGACCCTTTATGTGAATCGATCATTTTGACAAGATGGGTCAGTACTTCTTCTCTTATTGGCTGGAATGAGCTGACACGTTTTTGGGTGAAAAGCTCCACTGTGCAGATTTTTCGAAGCTGTCTCCAATAGTTTCCATAGGGTGCAAAAATTATATTTGTGGATTCATAAGACAATATATCAGAGGCTAGAAGTGTAGGCCTTGATGCAAAGATGAGATCATGGGTTTTCATGATCTCCTTGGCATATTCTGGTGAGGAAACAATGATTGTGAAGACCTCCCCAAGTTGGAGATGCATCAAAGGACCATATATTTTGGCTAAGTCTCTTAATTTTCTGTGTGGTGCAGATGAAAGAAGATTGTGTATGTTTCCTATGACAGGTAGCTTCCATGGTCCTGGTGGTATTTTTTGAGATGACCCAGTTTTCTTGAGACTGGTCCCTATTTTGAGTGCCAAAATCATGAAGAGAATAAAGGGCATGGTAAAGGATAATATCTTAGGTAACTCATAATCCATGGTGACAGAAGAAAACTAGTAAGGTTTTCTGAAAGTCCTGATGAAAATGAGGATTTTGTTTTCCCTTTTATTGCTTTCTGGTGGTTTTTGCTGTTGCAAACTTCATAGTAAAGAATCTTTTGACTTATTTTCTTTTCATACACATCGCTCTGTATTATTTAACAATTATTTAGGTTGCTTTTGACGTTTTCTTCAGCAAGAACCATACGAATTGTGGATAACTTTGATCATGAGTCGTGGACAACGTTTTAAGTTATTTTATGTATCTATTAAAATAAAATATTATAATTTTGTAATTGTTAATATAATGATTTAATATGTCTTTTTATTTTCTTTTAATATTCTTGAGATTTATTTAATGTGAATTTTCAGTTTTTTTTTTAATTTAGTTTGTAAGCTAGTAGTTTCAAACATTCTAATTAAATCAAGAAACTATTATATTTCGCAGCAACTTTTAGAATCTATAATTCTCACAGTATATGTTATGAAGGGTTTAAGAACTTACCTCGATCTATTATGATATTTTGAGTAGAAAAGAAATAAGTTTTTTTTTTTTGGTTTATTGACTTTCTTTATGAATTTCCTTTATGATAATATGATTTACCTTTGTCTCTTATTTTCAAAAGCTATTAATCGATAACATAAACATACAATAGATAATCATGTATTATATCTATTTTACATAACCTCTAGTTTTATTTTAATAAATAATTAATTATTTATTAAAAGACTGATGAGTCCTTTTTATAAAGTGAAAAGAGAGGAAATCAATAAATAAATCTCATGACTTTAATAAGAGTAACAAGCTATCATGGTTAAAAGTAACATTGTTTTTCCTAAAATGTTGAAAAGTACAAATTTTCATACAAGAAGCCAGATACTCTTAAGAAGTCAGCTCTCTCTGAATAACGATCATCTTTCGAAGAAAGCTATATAAGGATAACTCACACAAGAGAACTTATGCTATTATTGAATTCTTATACTTGTTATTCTATCTAAAAGCTTACATCGTCCGAGTCTATTCTTAAAACAAAAAAAAAGTATTTCAAGTTATCAAATTTCATTGTATTGAATTTATCCTCTTTCTGAGTTGGCGTTGAGTCTCAAAGATGACATTGAGCTTATACGGTCGTTTATGAAGATTCAAGTACTGTTAAGACAAGATTGTTTAGAAAGACTAGACTGTCTAACAACTCGAATTTTGAAGTTTAATATACAACACTTAATTTGTTTAGCTCAAAGGAGTTAAACGTTCTAGAAGGTTGATACCAAGAGTGGTTAAACTCAGACTAGTCAAGTTGACTAGGAAAACAAATAATGGTTAATAATATTCGATGTATACCAGAAGTAATTTATATTCGGTTGTAATATTATATACTCGATTTATACTTGGTTGATAATATTCAATGTTTACATCACATCATCACATATTCCATAATATCTCTTCTAACCTAGCTTGAGGAAGTTGCTATCAGAAACTCCATTAATTCTTGTACCTCTATGATTGCTAGCTAAGTGCACCTTAATAATACTAAGAAAAGATTCAAATGCTCACCATTACACCACATCACCACTTTCATCATTGTAAATAAAGAATAAGAGAGAAAAACACGAATAATTATTAATATCTACCATCAATACTAAATAATTAGTTTTAATACATTATTTCCAAAATTATTAATATCTACCATCAATATAAGTTTATGAAAAATACTATTAACATCCTCTTTAAAAACTCCTTATTATTGGTTAAGAGATATATATTAAAAATCATAAATTTAAATGAAGTTCACTACCTACATAGTAAATTCTTCTCGGTTATAGTTTTCCATAAATTTATTATTGCACATAGCTAATCACAAATCTTAGAAATCCAAGTTATTGATTAATGTGCATGTGTCTAAACGAAAAAAAACGGGAAATTTCCAGTCGTTCCAGTGAAAGTTTATTTGTATGTTCAATATTACAGGTATTACATAGTCATTTTTGCCACCATATTATTAAAAAACTTCAGATCTAGTGAAATGAACAAAAGATAAAATGACCAACATTTTCTTCAGGACTGAACCTAACATACCAAAGATATCACATTGGTTTATGAGCATTATTGTGTTGCAATGGAGGGAATCAAAAACAGACCATTTTTTCTTCTGACAGTTAATCCAAATTGCTCAGTCATGTCCAACTCCTCAGCTTTCATTCCATTGGGAAGCTTCCAATCAAAGTGATACAACAAAAGAGCAAGTGTGAGTTCAACATTCATCAAACCAAATGTGATACCTGGGCATATTCTTCTTCCAGCACCAAATGGAATGAACTCAAAATCATTCCCTTTGTAGTCAACACAGCTATCAATGAATCTCTCTGGATAAAACCTCTCTGGGTCACTCCAATAGTTTCGATCTCTTTTATTATGTAGGAGTCAGAGGTTGACTTTTCCCTTTAGTTTTGAAGCAACGTGGTTAGCTTTTTTTTTTTTTTTTTTTTTTTTGTGGAATCAAAATTGAAGGTCTCCATAATTGGTTAACTGTTTGATATTGATACTGATATTGGTTTGATTATTACTATTATCATAAGTCAACATCTTTATCTTTCATTTGTTATCTCTGGTTTTTGCATGATACTCTGAAGATTGTTTTATATTGTAAATGCATTCTGTTCATTTGTTTTTGGACTGAAACGTGGCTTGCTTTAGAGAGAAAATAAGTACCCGTTGGAGTTATAATATATGCCTAACTCTTGTTACTCACTTTCAATTACAACATTAAACAAAACAGTGTTAGGTCATCAAATATACAAAAGAGTATAAACACAGAGAATAAATTATAATAATTTAGAAGAAGAAATATAGATATACAAAGTCTTGATTAGAAGCATTTGCATAACAAGTCTAGTCAAAAGTTATGTCTAAAGCTGCGTAAAATAACATGAAACAACATAAAAGCATAACAGAAGTTCACACACTAGAGTTAAAACATATAACAATGAGTGGTGCGACTATGGAATAGGTTTGTACTCACATTCTGTTTCATTTTTTCTGTGAGTTGGGACAGTGCGAGGAGTTTTTTGCACCGAGATTGCGTTGTCAGCAATGTCCTTCTCCTTTTCTTTTTCGACCGTGACCTCGGCCTTGACCCTCTTTTTCAATCGTGCATTCTCTTCTCTCAATGCATGCATCTCCTCAACACTTCTTGTTTTAAACCCAACGAATTCTTGCCGCATCTTTGCCTGAGCTTTCAAGATGGACACCATAATGATTGCTTCCTTCACTGAATTGAGATCTTCTTCACAGAATATTACTCGGCCCACAATGGACACCAATTGTTCTTACATAGCCGAAGAGGTACCCAGCAAAGACTTCAAGACTTCAACTCCACAAACTTCTTCGACCTTCGCACTAAAAAATGCTCGTCCTCCTCTTCCACAATACTTGTCCTCGTTAAGGTGAACGAGGGTTGTGCTTACAGAAGATACTAGGACACTCAAGTCAGTCTCAAATGTCAACAGAGTATTAAGTGAAATTAATGAGAACATAAAAGAGATACATCAATGGTTATGCTATTTATAATATAATTTATTATGATTGTGAGTCTTTACGTAGATGGGCATGGACTTGAACCCAATGGTCCATTTATCCTGTCTAAATTAGTGTTTGATCATATTTTACTAAGTCATAAAATAGTTGGTACACCATTAGTTCTAATAGACCAATAAGTAATTGATCGGGCTACTTAGTGGTAGTCATTACAAAAGCTGGACTTATTTAAGTGCATACAATTTGATTGTATTTTATGTCATATCATTCTAGGATGAAACATTCAACCATATTAAATACTATATTTATAATTCTTGATAAAAAATTTATACAACTGTTATATCACTTTTTTAAGTTACCCTTGACAAATGACACATCTATATGAATGTGACTTGGTACCTCTTATTTATATCCACTAAATCATCTTAAAAGTAAAAACATTGTAAGTCAACTCAAATTGTGGATCACTCTCCATATTCATATATCCGCACAACAAAGAAGTCCTTTTCTTTTAATGAGTGTTAATTATTTTGAATTTGTGAGAAATTAAACCACAAGGTTGAGAGTCTTACAATGGATTGAGATGAGAAAGATTAAAAATGAGGAAGAGACACAAACTCATAAGTTAACTGAATCAAACTTTCTAAAATAAACTATTGTTTGAATTGTTATTATTATTATTAATTAGTTTAATTATTATTATTATTACCATTATTATTAACTTGTTTAATTGTGATGTAAGTGTAATTAATGGACTATCCAATCTGTCACTATTCTTTTATGCAGGTTTGTTTAGTTATTATTTGGTGGTTACAAAGTATTATATAGATATCAGACTTACTTTCATTTCTGGTAAATAAAATTTATTTCAAAAAATTATAAAAATATGTGTTAAAAAATAAGAGGTGAAATA